CAATACCGCTTTTAAGTAAAAGTATTGCATATTGTGTTGATAAAATTAAGTAATAAAATTGCTACCTAAAAAAGACACATGCGAAAATATAAAATGTATACAACTGTCTATACTTTATATAATATATAAAATTTTCATACTGCCCTGTGTGAATATAGAATCGATTGACTTGCTTGATTATTATTCATAAGTATCCTATTTTCAAAATTTCAGCTACAAGAATGTAAAATCACATTTGCTTTCTCATAAGTTTTTTTAAAAACCTTAGAAATAAGTTAAAGAGCTTTAGGATACTTTCGATATTTGCTATTATGCCCACATAAGTGTACTTTAAGTATATAGGTTAAAATACATATAGCAAAAAATCGCGGCGTTGCTTCACCTCTAAGTGTATTTTAAGCTTGTTTACGAGAGTGATTCTTTAGGAAATTGGTGATTTCTTATTATCGGCGGTTATGTTTTGCCCTGATTCTCCGGAAAACTGCGAATATTTTCATCATTACTAACAATTTATTTAGGCATTTCATTTTGTTTTTATTGGTCATAAACATTGATTGGCTTTTCTAAAATATGCAGAAGTAGGCAAGAGCAAGAGCTGAAGAATCACTTCAACATGGAAGAGAACTTTGAACTTAATTTCACAGCTTTTGATAATGTTCACTGAAGGTGTGAGAGAAACGTCAGAAAGCAATTGCAATGATCCACGGACGCCTGGAGAACTTTGCAACCGATATGATGACAGAAAAATAAAACGAACGCAAACGAAGACGTCGAGTGATGAAAACGAAAACGTTGACACTGTGTGAGTTACACAGTGTGAACATAAAAATTAGAAGAGTTCTTCGAATTTTACAGATTAATCATCTATATATAATATATATCTATATATAAGCTTCTCAATGTATACGGTGTCTTTAAACAAAAAATTGTCACACATTTCAAGGATATATTTTGTTAATCGCTAGTAAATTTCCGCACAAAATGTTTGTCAGAAACGGAAAGCAGGTTTATCAGTATCGTGTTTGCAAATCCGACGTCCGAATTCGGGCCTTGGAGGCAAACAAGAAAATCACTTTGATATCTTTAATCTATCCAGGCAGCTCCCTAAGGCGCTAATCGATTTATCAGGCATTAAAGTCTACATTTCTTGATCAAAAGGAGGTCAAACGTCCAACCCTGCAGTAACTGCGATGTTATACGTCAAATACATATATTAAGGAAAACAACAATATAAAATTCACAACCGGTCATATGTTACACCATGTGACACAGTCGATAACCAACAGGGAATCGAGGAAAAATCATGATTTTTCTATTTTTATTTGCTTCTATCCAAGTATATTTCCCTGAAAGTGGTCCCTCGATTCCGTAGTTCATTAATATGTAGTAGGGATTCCGTGTTTTTTTATTGGATTTTTGCCACATTATTTTCCGACACTTCGGTCATACACAATTTAGAGGGTATAAGAATAGTCTATTAAAGTTACTTCGCCATTTGTCTGATTCCTATGCGGAGATTTGAGAAAAGATGACGAGAAGGAAAATGGAAAAACTTTCGCGTTATTATACGTTGAAATATAAGAAAGTAAGCAGATTAAATCCTCACTCATCTTATTTCGAAGCAGCCAAACTTTTTCGATTAGAATCGCCCCTCAAAGACTAACGTGCGAAAATTATGCGGATTTGTTATTTTGATGTACATAGCGTGAAAGGATTATCTGAAAATATCAAAGTATAAAAGAGCAAACGAAATGAAATCTCAGTTTGCATATTTTAAACCTGTGCACGGCGCCAACCTGTTTTCTGTTACCCTCTACCGAGCACAGAAATGCTAAATCAGGGAATCAAATATTTTTGTATCCCTTTTGGAGAACAGACCGTAACGAACCCAATAAACTAGGTCTTCGAGCATTTGACAAAATTTCCCTGTTTGCGTTTTATTGAAGTTTGCCACTGTTTATTCGTGCTATATTTCGCATTTCACACTAAATATAGCGCATAGATAGTCAAATTGAAATGAAAACGAAAGACATGCACACATTTAAGTATGACAAAAAATGTAATTAACTAGACTTTAGCGAGTTGCTCGGTTTAACAACTGATCAGAACTGTCTCATCCGCTTTGCTCGACTGTTTGCTGTGAATGTCTATTTGTCCTCTGGATGTTTCTTGCTTTGTCTGGATGGTCTAAACCTATTCATTTGATATAACTTTTGCTCGCTGCCCTCAGGACGTCCCGAAATACAACCGAAAGCTCTCGGGCATATTTAAATAAATTAATTATTATCTTTGCACATTTGAACAACCCCTTACTTCCCGTTCATACACATTTTATTTCATTTGACAACTTCCTGTATAATTCAAAAAACTTGCACGGCATTTTACGTTGGTACATTTTAAAAAGCTGTTTTCCTGTTAAATTTGTACTACTTTTACCTAATTTCGAAGGTCTGTGCTCTGAAATGGGTAGCAATAAATAAAACTAAATACATAGCGGGATTGCTAATAAACATTTAAGTGACTAAATAATTTCGAAATAGCACTGCAGTTAAAGGGAGCAATTTTGTTCTTGAAACTAAAAGTCCCTTTATAAAAAGTCCCATTCTTTTTTAATTAGCCGCTCGGGATTCAACTCAGAGCTAAATCACGACAAGTAATTTAGTTTGTCTGGCGTTGCAATTGCGCACTATTATGGTAGTTTGGGTACCAAACCAAACTATCAACTAGAACATATTTTAAAAGCTTGAGACATTTATTCACATTTTCATAAATTCCAGAACCTACGCCTTGTTCGAACGACAGGGCTTAAACGTGAGCTCCTGCCTGTAATCTCTTGAGCTTTTTTACTCTTTGTTAGTCCTTGGAGTTTATTAGAATTTGCCTTAATCAACATTTCGCTTTATTAGAATAAATTGAGGTGTTTTATGCTATCTTCTCTATCCGGACCAGGCATTTTAGTTCGATATGTTACTTTACATCGACTAGTTACTGCAAGCAAATATTTTTTCACTGATATATTTAATTTATTATTTTTGCAATAAAACAAGTATTTCTTCTTCAGATTAAACAGTTAATTTTTTTATCGAAGCAACAATGGTTTACGGTAGTAGGTGGACGTTTTCCGGTTCGGTTATCAATTTCCCGACAAACGAAAAAACTTAATTTATCCTTAGTTAATGTAAAAAGTTAATGAATATCTAAAATTGTTAGTCGGCAAGAGAACAGAAATAATTTTGTTGAGCAAAAACTGTGAATGCTGCAAGATTTTCCAAGAGGACAAAAATGTCAAAAGAGGTTTAGTGCAACAACCTAAATCAGATCATAAAACCAGTTGATTCCAGCAACAAAATAAAAAATTCCGATAGTTTTTGTACCAAAACACCCAATTCTTCAGTTGCCCAATGCAGATGGACACGGTTGATTCTCCTAATATTTCAAAAATTCAATTTTTTTGAAGAACTTTGACCATCAATAGCAGAGGAGTCAGACATTTTCTCTTAATAAAAGTTAGGCCAGATCGTCTTCTTGTGGTCCAAAAAATATCGCAGTATCCTTTTGATCATGTCCTTACAGAACACTCTGTCGAATATGAGTAAACATTATTCTCAGTCTCAGTTAAAATTCATCGAATTATTCTCCAAATATTTACATATATATATATTTTTAAGAACTTTAACCACCAATAGCAGAGAAGCGAGAAATTTATTCATAGTAGAAGTTAGGTCAGATCGCCTTCTCTTGATCCAAAGAATATCACAGCATCCCCTTGATCATGTAGTTACGAGGCACCCTGTATAATGTGGCTATAGAGGTCAAATACATTGATCAGTCCTACTTTGTAACTACTTTTATCCCTTCCATTTATTTAATTCTTGAATCACCGATCGATAGAAATTGACGCGCCTAAACAAATCGGAATTTATGAATGACCAGATCTTCTAATATCTTTGGTTTCCTCCACTTCCAATCAATTACTGAACTATGAAAATAGCAAATTAATATCTTCTGTTTCCATTGGAAGATCTATTTTGAGGAAAGTTAGTGCATCAAGCTATTAATTAAATAAGCAAGAGCAAGTAAATTGGACCTAATTCAAGACTCAGCTACTTCTCAACTCATCAAAGATATGAAACTATGAAATCGCACATTGCATACGATCAGATTCTGCAGAAGTTAACTTTGAAACAATCGTTTCAAATATGGATAAACCGTCGTTTTTGCACATGTAAAAATGTAAATATTTATAAAATTTTATTCTTTCTGGATTACATGGACTTTCACAACTGAAAAAACATGAAATGGAAAACTAGAGGCGGAGCTGGTTGTTTGAAATGCTATTAACATTGCTTGATTTAAATTAGTAGCTGAGCCAAGGAAATTGAGTCGGTTAGAAGAGTTGGTTAAAAAGTTTTCTGGAAGCACCTTTTGAATACGTGATAGTATTCATTACGTACGTGACATGTGATATGAAATGGAGTCTTCGCTATCAATTCTCTGTCAAAGCTAGTGCGATTTGATTTCCCGATGGACCTCAAGAGGGAATTACGTCCAAATTCCGATTTATTTTATGACGGTCGATATTGTCAAATATGCTGCGTAAGTTGATAGCTCATTCAAACATAACATTACCACATGCGTCTTATTTATTTTTCCCTTTTCTTAAAGCTCAACGCCTGTAATTACTTTCCACGTAAATCTGCATAAGGAGTTATAAGCATTATAGCGATACTTTCCCACAACAAGAATTTTATTATTAAATCCAAGCACGCTTGGCGCTTCAGGTTCGGTATTAATTAAAATTAGGTAAATGTTTCATTAACGCTTTGAGGCAAACTTTAATGTATTTCGCGGATGATTTTGTCTACAGATCTACAGATTTACTTTAGCTCTAAATTATGCAATTAATTGCAGAGGTGATAGATCAAACAAACATAAAGTATAAATGATTTAGAGCGGAACCGATTTCCGATTAAATTACTAATTAAATCCAATTTGCTTACCTCTAGGTCTATATCATGGGTGAAACAGTCGATGGTATTTTCATCTATCCATTGTATGCCACAAATATCGGTTTGGCAACTTGTGGATGCATAATTGGAACCTCCTCTGGAGTGAACAGGAGACCCAGTTGTACGTCTCTTAACTTCCACTACTATGGGCTCTTGTGCGGCCATAAAGGCCCTAACGGCATCTTCGTGAGGAAAGCTACTTACATCCGTACCGTTAACCTACAATCAAATCAAGTTCGTTAAAAAAAATAGTTTCCAAACAACACTTCCACTTTTATAGACATTGATTTTGTTCCCACGATAATGGCCGATGACCGTATTTCAATCAATTTTGATTATAGAGAAATCGATAAAACAGGAACAAAAACACAATAATCCCATCAGACAAAATCACATACATTGGGATTCTACTTATTTTCCTGTTTAACGATCTGTTTAGGCAGATATGTCGGTGTTATCGGTTCAGCCCTGAATAGCACTCAGAAAAAGTACAAATATGAAAAAGCTGTTTAGGGCGATTTATCATTTTGTTAAAACGCTGCTTCCCTTTTCATATTTTCACCTACTTTTGCAGCCAGATAGCTACAATGTATTTACATAACTCGCTTGCGCGATAGCAAGATGCAATTACGGCTTTAGTTGGCTTTCATAGGATTCCAAACAATTTCGCTTCAAGTGCGACTCGGTTAAAAGGTAATGCGGCATTTTATTCGTCAAATATTTCGTTAAGACAGATTCCACACAAATATATTTGCATCAAAACTTTAGATTTGGAAATCAGCACTTTAACAAAATTTAATTCAGTTCATGTCTATTCTAGTGAGAAACACAACTATCATAAAGAAAATGTAGTTATACTATCATAAAAAAAAAGTTTACAAGTATGTTGCTTTTTTAAGACAGCGATATGAAATAGTAGTGTAATTCTAACGTAAGTTTTTGGGTTTTCTCATTCTCATTCTATCATAAAATTTGTTTCAAAGGATTTAAAATTCATGACGAGTATTTTTCGTAGATACATTTTAGCATATCATTTAACTTGATTGCCTAAGTTTCTTAAACTTAGATCCGACCATCTTGAAAATTTATATAAACTAGGAAAAGGTGGCGATATAATTACTGCTCGGAACTCGTTTGCACTGTCGCTATTTTCTTAAAGTTTTCTAGTTAACGTTGCTGATTTTACTTGAAGATTCATATTTTGTTTGAGAGCAATTTTCCAATATTTACTCTTTTGAAGTTCATTCGTAAAATGTAAGCTTTTCTTTTTTGGTCAAGCAGTTTTGTTATAATAATTTCCACTCAATAACGAACGGCGATGCTCGCAGTTTTTCATTGCCGCGATTTCCGGCTTCCACTAGCTGAATGAAATCCTGAAAATGCAATTGCATGGTGCCAAAAGGAAACCTGAAAGGAGCGGGCATTTTATTCTGCAACCACTAGTTGTGTTCGCTTTTGAAATAACAAAATTGAAATTTTTATATTATTTCCAGTTATTCTACAAAACTCAATTATCATTTGGAGTTACAGCTTTTTCTTTAAATATTCGAAGTTTCGAAATTCATTAGTCTTACTTTTAAAATGGAAGTTTCCAATAAATCAGTAAGCACCGATATTTCTAATAAACCTCAATGACCCTTCAAACTTAACGGAAATTCCCCTAATTGCGTAATATAATTTCTGTATCGAGCTGGGAAGTTAATAATATTTAATTAAAAGAAAGTTCTTTACAGCAAAGTCTTATGGCGGTAATCATAGTGTAATTAAGTGCTTGTACAGAATGGGGTATCTAAGTGGAATGGTGCAAAATAATGACGAAATCAGTTTCTTTGATTAATACAGTTTGAAGCTGTTCATTAACAGTTTCAAACATTAATTTAACATGGTATTAGTTTATCAAAACTCACATATTTGAAAAATTACGCTTAGATATTGTACATAAACTTTTTTTAAATAAACACATAACAGGAAAAATAATACCGTAAGTAACGAACTCTTGTTCTACTAAATTGGACTAAAAACGAAAGATACAAAAACTTTAACTTAAACAGTCTTTTGGTCGATTAAACACACTGATAAAAGTTAATCATTATAAGGGCATTTATATTGGGGCCCCAAAAAGCCCTATTTTTGGCCTTTCACACCAGTAAAAAGCACAGAAATACTTATGTAGAAGTTTCATTAAACCCTCATTGATCAAATTTAGTATCAAGCAACTATTATTTATTTTGCCGAGTTTCCAGAAGAGGTGGACATCTTCTTGGGAAAGGTACTTGCTCTTAAAGCAGTAAAGCTATTGTCGGGGGCTTTAGGATTGTCGCACTTTTTTAGGATTGCATCAAAATATTTCCCCTTAATATGATAAAATCTGAATTATGCATTTCAGAATGTATTTTCACGTTAAAAAGTTAGAGGCGATTATTCCCTTTAAAAATGCCACTTCAGGAGCAAACAGCATTTCAGCATATGAAACAGATTTAAAACTGCAGTTAAATTATAAATAGTTTTGCAATTATAAGTCCCTGGTGTTCAATATTTTATACATTTGTTCTAAATGTTACTGCTTTATCAGCTGTGCTCAGCCAACACATGCAATAGAGTAACATATAATTAATTTTTTACACGCATTTCATGCATTAATAATTATGTAAAAAGTGACCTAAATATTACGGTAATTTAATACCGTAAAATTGTTATACTCGAAAAAATCGCAGATGTGCTCCTGTTAGGATAAAAATTAATTAGCCAACTGCGGCCCGGAGTATAAAATATGTGCTTTAGATGAGCAATTCTCTATATCCATACATATGCCACTTAAAAAATCTAGAAAATTTAAATAAATACTGCCTGTCAAAAAAGAGGTCTAACGCGGATTTGCATTTAAAATCAGTTTTCTTCTGCATGCGGATATAAAGTTTTATCTGAAGTACATGACCCGCATATATTAAAATATGATTTAAGTCTATACCTTTAATGAAAAACCTGTAAATATCAGATCCGTTACTTGTGTGCGAGCATTGTTTGAAAAAGCTAATTAATGTGAAATGACAACAACCTACTTAGTAATGGCTTGCTTACAGATATCGTCGCACGCTACTGCGATTTAAAGTTATTAATATTTTATGGATCCTTAGTTAATAGCTCCGACAAAAGAAGCACTTTACGGAACTAAAAATGGTCTATAAAATTGCTTGAATGCAGGTCATTGTGTAATGGAAATACAAGATCTTTGGTGGTCCCTATCTGCAGATGCGAAGCTGAAAATCTACGAAAATTATATTTATTTTTATAATTCTGTAATGACTTTAAATCATTCGAGACTGTCAACTACATAACATCTATAAAAAATATGTCAGTCATTAAAAGAGCGTTTATCTAAATAAAAAAATATTTGCTTGTCGAAAAGTTGGCTGGTATAACGACTAATTCTTAAATGTGGAGCAAACACTATGACATCTATATCAATAATTCGGGGAATAGTGTCCAATTATAGTAAAAAGTGACTTGTAAAATTCTACCGCACTTTTTACCGTGTATATTGGGCCACCATGGATCAAACAATATTATATTGATATTACAATTCCAATATTCGACTGTTTTGCTCGATTGTGCAATTAAACTAAGATTTGAGGCTAATGTTTAATATAAACCATAGAGAGAAAGTTCTTCATTAGAATTTACATTTATATATGTCTTTTAGTACAATCCATATTAATTCAGTCCGACAAATTGAATCCCAGTGATTCAAGAGCTCCTAACGAATAAATTTATGGTTGGTCCAGTGCAATTTAGGGTAAATTTATCCATTCATTGGGTCAAATGCTACTAAATTAATTCACGGTTGGCCAAAACAAATCGCTAGGTAAACAGCTCAAAGAGTTAAAATTTCAGGATTCGCTTTTGTTTTCAGAGCGTAAAATACAATACTCGTAGAATCAGTTTAAGAAAATGACAACCAAAAGTGGATTTGAGGATCCCAATTTGTTTGTGTGTGATATAAAAATATGGACAGGCAGTATTTCCAGAGGCACACATTTAAATATGTTTTATACCTGTGTATTTCGACCCTTCAATTTCGCATTCCACGAATGCGTGTACCACAAATTTCCTAAATAATATCTTTGGAAGTGTCCTGAAGTTGGAAAATAAATAGAAAATAAAGTTAGCAGGAAACGTGGACAATAGTTCGTAGCAGTTCAAACGTGACTTCGGTTACATTTGATGAAAAATGATTCTGAACGGAACAGAAATAATCTCCTGATATATGAAATAAAAAACTGATATTTTATTCTGGAAGAAATTGAGCTTTGCACATAGTAATTTTGTTATATTCTGTATTTAACTGTAAAAAAATCAGTTAATTCAATGTTTTTTTGAAAAAAAAACTTAGCAAATCGGTATAGAAAACAGGAAATACGCATTACTGTGATTTGCTATTTTTACAATTATAGAAGTTCCGTTAACGATGTTAATGCATTACTCTCTGGTTAATCTTACACAAAGATCAGCACGTGCTGCATAAAAATAAAACCACGTTAACTTGGTACGAAATAAAACCATATTCCCTGACATGATTTATATTTAAATTTATGACATAGAACAGATTTATAGTGTAATAAGATGGACATAAAAACCATGTATTAATGTAGATAAATATTACGTTTCCTATGTATTCGGCTTGTTTGCATTGTTTGCCGTGTCAGTCATAACGTTTAACACATTTCGACCATTATGAATACTTTTGCTTCATCACCAACTTTATGAACCTTGCTGCTTTTAAACTGCTTCGACCTTTTAAGCTATCTAAATAGACGCCACCGAAAGTACGTCAATTCATTTTTATTTGCGAAATAAGGGCTTCTCTAAACGTGTTTTTTTTATTGCGGTATACATAATGTTCCTTTAATAAATCATCTGTTATTTTTCATTCCTAATCTCATGATGAAATGAGTAATACTTAAATATATGTTTTAATATTTTTTATGTAATATAAATACACTTCAGAATCTAATATCGATTAGCATCAAAGAGCAGCAACGGTCAGTGAAAAAAAATTCAGAGTAGTTTCAAATAATCAGCAAAAGTTAGCAGCGAAGAATCAAAACGACATTGAAATTTGCGCATTTGAAAAATGTGGGTCTTTTCATGAATATACCCTTAATCTTATTTAACCAGCACACAATAACGGTGTTATTAACATTTAACATTAATTTAAATCT